GGTGCTCTGTTTTGCTGATGAGGAAACTGATACTCAAAGAGGTTAAGTAACTCGCTCAAGGTCACACAGCCATCAAGTGACTGAGGCAGAATCCAAATCTGGATATGTCTGACTCCAGAGATTGTACTCTTCAGTATACATTCCCAAAGAGTTCAAGTTGACTAGAACTCCTAGCTTTTGCTTTCTTTATCATTTCTTCCACTTGATTCCTTAAGAAAATGAGAAAAGAGCTGTGTGCTTTTTCCATTTCAAGACACCCAGTTCCAGCATCTTCTTTTTCTTCTATCAGTAAAGACTTAATATTGAGAAAGGACATGCTGTCGGTTTGGATTTAGCGTGACTCTGTGCTCATGGATTTCCTCTTCCTGGCAAGTGTATTTATTTCCTACGTCTTAGGTCTAAGTATCATTTCCTAAATCTTAGCTTTTCATTACATTAAAGGCAGTATAATGTAGAAAGTGAACACTCATGGCTTGGAAAACAGACTCACCCACATTCAAGTTCTGGCTCAGCCATTCATTAGCTCTGTGACCGTGAGTAAGTTATTTAATCTCTATAAACCATAAAGTGGGGGTACTAATACCTACTTCCAGGACTGTTCATTCCATCTCCAGACACTTACTGAGCACTGTATCGGGCCCTGGAGGTACAGAGTTGTAAGGTTTAAGTGAAATAATACAGGTGCTGTGCTTGGCACAGGACCTAGTAGATGATAAAGGCTCAATAATGAAGAGTAGTCACAAATTGTAGAATTTAAGGCAATTTCCCTCACAGCCGTCACCAGGCAGGGGACAGGGGAGTGAGGCATGTTCTGAATAGGGGACTGTCGAAATGACGTCGCACAATTGAGTACCTCCTTCCCCGGCTGAGGCTAAGCCCAAATTTCAAATAATAGTCACGGCCAACATTTCTTGAGCACTTAACATACACTTTACGTGTATTAACTCACATATTCCTCACAACCACCTCCGGAAGAAGGTTTTATTACATCATCATTTTATAGAGGGGAAGATGGAGACTCGGAGAGGTTAAGTAACTTGCCTGAGCCCCCACAGCTAATAAACAGCAGGGCTGGCATCTGAACCCAGCTAGTCTGATTCCAAAGCCCCTGATTTCACCTCCGGTCTGAACACACCACACTGGGTTTGTCTCTGATTTCTGCATCTTATGTCTACATAGCCAGCACTGAGTGGCTCCAGGCAGAGACACAGGCAGGGGATGTTAGGAGGGCCGTGGTGTTCTGGGGAGCCTTTTGGAGACCCTGTGCTCCCCAATTCTTCTCAGGGATGTTCCACTGATCCCCACCCCACCTACACCTTTCCTGCTGTGACTCTCTGACATCACCCAGGACCAAACCAGCTCATCCTGAAAAGCAGTGTTTGTGGAGCCCAGCAGTGGAGGAGCTGGTTGGGGCAGCTTGTGCTGGAGGCAGGGGTATTGCTCCTGTTGCCAAAGGCCAAGACAGCTCTCTGAGCACAGCCTCAGCTCCTTTGCAGTCTTGCTTTTGGTTTGGCTGCCTTGGGCCTGAGAGAGGCCTGGCCTATCTGCCTTGCTCCTCGTCTGAGGTTTGCTTGACACTTTGTTGGAGCTCAGTACACACCACCCCAAGATATGACTGTAGGAGACCAGAAAGTGCTACCCCAAAATATACTTCTTTGGCATATATTGAGCTGGTTATTCTGAGAAACTGCAGACACAGGAATAGCTCTGAAAAGCTGTCCTTTTGTAAAAGAAATGTACGTCTATAAAGGAAAACAATTGTCATGGGAATCTCATCAACCAGGGAAGGTCTTATCATAGGAGAAGAGACTGATGGTCCGCACATTGCCCAGATAAGACTTTGTCACAGGCTCTCACCTGTTCTTCTGACAGGCTGCTCTGAGACAACTTTTATTACCTGAGAGAGTTTGAATTTGCATAACAAGAAGCCTTTGTTTGCCACACATTTCCTCCCTTTACCCTACCATAACCTGTTGCCACCTCCCAGCAAGAAGCCCCAAGCCCCTTTTCCTCTCTGTAGCTCAGGGATACTATGTAAACTTCAATCATCTGGTTCTTCTTCAAGTCTCATATTTTGTGGGACTCCTGTGCGTACGCACGTAATGAATGTATGTCTTTTCTCCTGTTAGTCTGTCTACTGTCAGGTTATTTCATAGACTCATCACTGAACTTTCAGAGGATAGAGATAAAGTCTTCCCTCTCTCTTACAACTCCTACAGGAGCCACCCTCAGACTCAATAGCTGTGTGCAACCCGTGCAGTGGGACAAAGGGCCCTGCATTTGGCTTAATGCCCTGCCATCTCCATCTTGAAATTCTTAATAGTTTTTGAATAAGGGGCTCTGCATTTTCATTGTGCAGTGGGCCCCCAAATTATGTTGCCAGTCCCACTCAGATCCCACTAAGGCGTAGGGCCCATGCAGGAAGCCTCTCTGGCAAAGAATCTAAAGGAAACCACAGGGGATGGACAGCAAGGCAGGGATCCTAATTTCAGAGACCATGTTTGCGAGGTCAAAGCATGCTATGGACCATAGGAAGCTGGAGAATGAATTCACACATCTCTTGTGATGATGTGAATTTAGCAGATTACAACCTGTTTTTTTAATTATTCCCATAAATAAACATAACACGTATCGAACGTGCTGTTGCTTACTAGCAGGAATGTTAGAGATGAGGGTCAGCTCTATTTAAGCAGAGAAGCAAACCTGGTCTCCCTGCTCCTTCAGGCCTTTCCCACCTTCCTGCCACAAGTCTGACATCCCATCATTATGAAATCCTTCTTTCGGATCCTGCCAGTAAACCAGACACCTGCTCGAATAAAAACCAATCGCGGCTTCCACCTTCTCTAGGCACTTGCTGCCTCCGATAGCAGCCCTGTCCCCACTCTCCCTGCATCATTTCCAGCCTCTCTTTCCTACTGGCCCTTTCCTCTCTGTCTCCCAACAGACCGAGGTCTCATCTGTACTCACAGTCCTGCTGCTCAGGCCCAGCGACCCGCATTCGCACCTTCCGTCCCTTCCTGGCCCCCTCGGATGCTACCAGCTTTTCACCCTTGGTCCTTCCTGCCTCACCCTCCTGCTCTCTGGCTTCCATCCTCTCAACTATCAGGACTGCCCAATAAAGATCACCCTTCATGGTGCAGTGTCATCAGCCTGACCTCCTAGGAACAAGGGCCACCTTATGACTTCAGGGGGTCTGAGGCACTTTCACCTTTGGGAGTGTTTCTTCCATTAAAAAAAAATTAAAAATTATATTTCACAACTGTGTTGCTATAAACATAAGTATAAGCCAGTTTAGATTACATTTATTTTTTAAAATCTTATTTCTTTCTTTTCTATTTATTTTATTTATTTTTTTATTGAATCATAATTGATTATGCATATTTTTGGGATTCAATGTTGACATATGTTGATCAAATCAATATTACTAGTATGTACATTGTTACAAATTGTACTTGTTCTTTTTTTTTTTTTTTCTTTTTTTTCCTTTTTGTCTTTTTTCGTGTCCGGCAACGGATCGCAACCCTCGGTGTCGCGCCCGCACCTCGCTCAGCCAGTGAGCGGGAACCGGTCTGTATGTGGGATCCGAACCCTCGGCGGGAGCGCTGCCGTGCTCCCAAGCGGCGCACTGTAGCAGTGCGCCACCGGGCTGGTCCTGTACTTGTTCTTTATGCCCCTTGTCCAATCTCTCCTATCCCCCTCTACTTCCCCCAAAATCTTATTTTAAAATATATTAAAGCATTTTCATGGGCCTCTAAAGTATTGTGAGCTCTAGGCACGGTGCCTTTTGGGCCTCATAGGGAAGTCAGCTCTGCTTTGAAGGGCCAGGTAAATTGGAGGAAAGCCTTCCTGAAACTTTTTCTCTCTGGGAAACCATACTATCATTTAAAAATTTTTATTCCTTTTACTGGAAAAACAATATAGTTACAAAGAAGATTTTAATGGGGAAAAAAAAAAACCCACTCTCATAATCTCATATCCTAACACAACTCTTCATTTGTGTGATTTACTTCCTCATCCAGATGTGAAGCTATTTTCCACAGCTGAGGACTGTTGTGTTTACGCAGTTTTGGGTCCTGCTTTTCCATTTAACATGATTGCTTTAGAAATATTTTCCATGTTTTTACAATAGTCTTTATCACCATCAACTTGACTTATGGTGATTGACTTACTTTTACCCGCTGTTGCTTTCTCAAATCTTTTCTGACTTTGCTTTAAATCTGTTTTATCGCTTCCTTTTCCTTGTCCCATGAATTTAGTCTGGGCCATCTGATCTTTCTGTAAACCCTCCCCCCAGGCAGTCTGATTCATGACTTTAACTATCAGCTTGATAGGGTTGAGGAAAATGGGCTTTGAAGAACATTCTTCCAAATGGTGATTAGTGTTCAATGATCTATGTATACGACCTGCTCACACCTTTTCACATGGAGTCACTCACATTTGAGAGCCAGCTAGGCCATGGGGCAAGATCTTGTTAAACTCTATGTTCTAGTAATGGGATCACATTGTCAGAGTCTGAAGGCACCTTTCACATGATCCAGTTCAACTTCATTATTGTACATATAAGGAAACTGAGAATCAAAGAGATTAATAGACTTGATCATGGTTATAAAGCCAGTGAGCAGGGATTTGAGACTTGGTTCCTTAATCCTCAAAGTTTTATCTCTTTCCTCAACGTCATGCTGTCTGAATTTGATGAAGAGGAACTTTAGTTTGCATTGTTGTAATATGAGGATGTGCACTTATATTACAGAATTATATTTACAATTATTTTGTTCCCCCTTTTACCTTAATATTAATCTAATGGGAAGAAAAAATAAAAACCTCACAGCACAATTTTTAGTTGAGTTCATACTTTGAATTTATCTGGCGCATCACAGGAGAACTTAACTGACTCAATTTCACACAATGGTTAACTTGTTCTCTCAATAGTCACTGTGTCTCTGTGGTCTGTTGACTCACTTATTATTAAGGTTTCCAGTAGTCAATTCAACTAATCTTACCTGTTCAGAGACAAGGAGCAGATCAGTCTTTGTCCCAAAATAACCAGGCCAACACTGGTACTAGCAACCTACAGACAACAAAAACATTCATTACTAAGCTGAATGAATCTGTCCACTAGGGTCACAAACATAATTTCCTGTAGTAGAAACACCATAAGCTCAACTTTCTCTCTTATTCTAAAAGACATTGGAAGGAAATACCTCTGAAAATCCTGTCTTGCAGGGAGGGAAGCTAACTGTAAAGACTTTTTGGTCGGGGATCTCCCTTAAATTATTTATTTATTTTTCTCCCAGTCACTCCTTTTCGTGTGCATGTGGGTGTGACAGTTTGCTTAGATTCATTGTATTAGTTTTCTTTTATCAGACTGCACTTGGCTTTCATCTGCTCAGGTAAACTCGAGTTCCACCTTGATGGACTTATTTCGAGAAAGACAGACATTCAGCTATTCGTGGAACTGAAGTAGTGGGACGGGCACATGGGAAGTAGAGATTGGAGAGATATTTTACAATGTCCGGGGGCATGAGCACTGGCCTCCCACCCCTCCAACCAGTCTCAACCTTGTCCACTCTTAATTGATATATCACCATGCACTCCTCCAGACACCTAGAAGCTGTTGGTCAATGGTCCATGGCAGAAAGAGAACTGGCATCCCCTAGCTGCCCTCCATTCTCCCCACACTTACAAAGTCCATGGAAACAATGGATTCAACAGTCGAATTCTTGGGCTGGGTGAGCATCATGACAGAGGCAGGGATGTCCAGGGTGAAGTTGCCTGGTCGTAAAGTGATCACAGGAGGCTTTGTGGCCATAATCCGTACCATGAAGGGCTGGGACAGGATATAGATCTCCGCAATCTGCCCACGTTCAGAGAAACAAATGGAGATTGGAGTTAAGTTTATAAGGGGAAATCACAAATGCGGGGTGGCCTGTGGTGATTAAATCTCACATCATGCAGTTAAAATAGAAAAAAAGAAAAGCTCCTTAATGGCAATACCAGTAATACATAAAAAACAAACAGTAACAACAGCCAGCATTTATTGAGTACATACTTCATGCCATCTCCCATGCCAGGGGCTTTAAGTATTATCTCATTTAATCTTCACAAAATCCCTGAGACAGATTCTGTCAGTATCCCTCTTTTTTTTTTTTTTTTTTTTTTTTTTTTTTTTTTTTCT